CTTGGTATTTTTTTGCCTAAGAATATGTCTGATGTTAATATCTTTGCTCAACCAGCCTGAGAAAAACCCAAACAGGTGGGAGACTTCTTCACTGTGTCCTAAAGGGTGAATGGGTCATCACGCTCCCCATCTTGCAGCTTTCAGCACCAATCCAAGTAAGCCATCCAAGTAGTCTCTGTGTTAGAATTATAAAACCCATCAGCAGCTCAATTTCTGAGAACTAGATCTTTCCTGTCAGCAGTTGTATGTTTTTCCAATATCATGTTCAGTCAGCATTCAGGATATATTGGTTGTTTATGGCCTCTCTGGGACTGTCTTAAATGGGCAAGTGTTCTAGAATCGGAATTTTGTTCTTTGAGATGGCTTTTAGTTGAGCACAGTTCTAAGGCAAGGACGAAGCAGCTGCAGACATCTTATCAGGTTGCAGCTTAGAGGGAGGTCCAGGAAATTAGGACCTGCAAATCTGGGTTCTTCCTGTAAAACCAAATCAGAGAGACATGGAATGGTCAGACAGCTCTGTTTCCCAGATCCAATGATAAGCAAAGCATTCCCCAAACCCTTTTATCTTGTAAGTTTTAGATTCCAAAGAAACACACTAACATTAAAAAAAAAAGGTTTTTCAAGTCTGCAAAACCAGCCGCCTCTAGGATTTCAATAAGAGCACAAAAACAAACTAAATGCTGGCTTTCACATATCAAAGGGGTATTGCTTAATGGAGTTTGTCTCTTCTTTCATGTTGTTTCTTTTTCCAGGGGCACCAACAAAGATAATTTATCAGATAGCCTTGTTCTGGTCCTCCAAACTCAACAGTTTAATTTGCTTTTAATTTGTATGCAAGAAGCAATGGAGCAAAAGGATGAGGGGGGTTTGGGGGGGAGGTAACGGGGAGAGCGCCCATGCTCCCCACTTCTTTTTGTCGTGTTCCTTATCAGAAAAACCCACCTGAACTCATGGAATAACCCAGAAACTATTTTACTTTAGTTTTTATGATACATTCAAGTATCAATCATAAAAATACAAAGCTGATTAAAAATGTTCCCCTTCTCCCTCAGACTCCAGCATGTACAGGGTTAACATGTCAGCTGCTTGGAGGTCTCTGCTGCACAGTAACTAAGGCAGTTGACAGAATGAAAAAAGGATGGAGTGATATTTTTTCTAAAACATATCATTTTATTTTGATATACATTAGTGTTGCAATAGAAGGGTTGACACTTAGAAACACAACTTTAAAGTCTCAAGTTAGATATTTATGAATACCTTAGTCTTATTTTATTTTATTTTATTATTTAAAAAATTTTTATTAGTGAAACACCATGAGGTACAGTTGTAGACTTACAAATTTTTGTGCTTGGGTTTCAGTTATACAATGTTCGAGTACCCATCCCTCCACCAGTGACCATTCTCCACCACCACTGATCCCAGTATCCCTCCTACCCACCCAGCCCTGTCCCCCCCATCCTACCCTGCCTCTTTAGCAGGGCATTCCCTTTTGTTCTCTCTCTCCTTTTGGGTGTTGTAGTTTGCAAAAGAGGCATTGAGTGGCAATCATGTTTGGTCTATAGTCGACTTTCAGCATGCATCTCCCATCCTGGGAGGATCTTCCCAACACCCTTTATTTGGTGCTCCCTTCTCTATCTGAGCTGCTTTTTCCCCTAGCATGAGCGGCTGGTCTCCAAGCCATGGAGGTCACCTCCTGGTACTTATCTAGGCTATTCTTGGGTGTTAGTCTCCTATTTTGTTACTTTATGTTCCCCAGATGAATGCAATCTTTCTATGTCTGTCCCTCTCTTTCTGACTCATTCCACTTAGCATGATACTTTCCACTTGTATGTAAATGTCATGACTTCATTTTTCCTAACAGCTACATAGTTGGAGTGATATTTTTTTTTCATTTGGGAGTTTTGCCAGTTTCCTCAGCACCCCACTTACATCCGTGGTTTAGCAAAAGTCCTGCTCTTGTCCCAGAGACTTAGCTATTTTCCCTCTATTTGGAGGAAAAAACAGCTACAAAAATGTTTGTTTTATTTATCTTACATGAAGTTCATTTGGTGAGCAATATTGGGGCCCTTTCTTTTCCCCACAGAGAATAAAAATCAAAGCCATTGGTGCCAGTGGGGTCCCAAGGTGACTTAGTGAAGTGTAGAAGAGAGAGGTGACTGCGTCAAGCAGGGGGGTCTGCTATTTTTCAGTTTTCCATTTCTGCCATCCAGGGAGTAACTTCAGAAATCTAGGACTATGAGCCTTGCTCCTTGCAAGAAAGGAAAGTCAGTTCTAGACCTTACCCAGGCCTTTTGGGTTCTTACCTTTCTCCCAGAAAAGAATAGCAGGAGATGAGCAGTGAAGTAGAACAAATTTATTTGGAAGTTTTGAGGAAGGTGGGGGAGGAGAGAGAGAGAATATGTACTTATGAGAAAACTCGGGCTTCTCCAGTGTGGAGAAGGAACCCCAGTACACATCCCAACTTTAGATAGAAAGTATGGAAGTACACATCTCGAAAGGGAAGTTGAGGGCGACACATGTGCTTGAGCACCAGATGCGCTAGGCAGCAACACATGGGCACAGGCAGTATATAGAGGTCTGTGTGTTTCCTTTGTTCAAGTTGTTTTTATAGGGTTTCTCCCAAGCTGCTGTGGAGCTTTCTACTTAAGTAAGAGTTTATTGCTAGGGTGAATGCCAAGAGGTAGAGTTAGGAGTAGTTGATAATCTTCTTTGATATTCCTTTCTTAGCCTTAGTTCTTGCTGTAGCTTCCCTCAGAGAGCCATCCAGCCTTCTCTAAGTCTGTGCTGACTCCAGTAAAATGTCTTACCAGGCCTTAGTTCTTGTGCACACAAGGTGGATCTTGACAGCCTAAGGACGATTGTCTTTTTTGCTTCCCAAGAATTCATTGCCATGGGGAGACCTTTCTCTATCTACCTGCCTGCCTGCTTTACCATCACTTGAGCAACTTTATTTCCTAGGGCTGGAGCGATAGCACAGCGGTAGGGTGTTTGCCTTGCACACAGCCAACATGGCCCACCCAAGTTCGATTCCTCTGCCCCTCTCGGAGAGCCCGGCAAGCTGCCGAGAGTATCTCGCCCGCACGGCAGAGCCTGGCAAGCTCCCCATGACGTATTCGATATGCCAAACACAGTAACAACAAAGTCTCCAATGGAGACGTTACTGGGCCCGCTTGAGCAAATCGATGATCAACAGGAGGGCCTTTACCTTTTACCCTTTTATTCAGAAACAGTCAGGAGATGCATCAAACTTGGTTATGGTTAGATTTTTTCACTTTCAGGTTCCATAGGGTGCTTTCAGTTCTCACAAGAGATGGTATCTTAGTTGCTTCATAGTCACCCACACACCAACATTTTAGCATCGGCAGCCTCCCCCCGTATTTTCTTTTTCCTAAGTAGAGTGCTAGCCATATTTCAGTGGGTTAGGATTGCTCTTGAGTCCCTTCTCTGCCACATTTGACTATTCTTTACAAATATTCACAGGACTTTGAATACAGTTAAAATCACAGCTAATATTTCCAATAGCAAACAGATACACACTAGAACCAGCAAGGAAAAAAGATATAAGAAGATGCAATACAAAGGTTTCCTTATGCTGTCTACCACCCATGAGGACTCATGGGGAGCTCACTGTTCTCCCAGCAATCAAGGCACAGTGATACATGTGTGATGTCTGTGCCCATAGAAACCCATTAGAGATTGGGTCAGTAGAGAATCAGTACCCACAGTTTTTAATTAGGATTTAGTACTAGTCACCCTCTGCTGAATAAATACCAATATTCTTAATCTCCAGAAGGAAAGTGGAGGTTCAGCACAAACCACACTATTGGCACAGTCTAATAATAATAAAACATACCTATAATGTAGGGAATGGTTTTTAATTTAAAATTCAGTTCTAGTTTTCTTTTTTAAATTCATCCTTCCATCTGTTAATGTTGTTGCAATGACACATGCTCACAAACTAAGTTATGTTCACCAGTTATCACATATCAGGTTGTGGGGCTCATACACTTGGCTTTGCTGTTTGCTTGGGGTCACACCCTTCTAGATGTTGTGCTTGTAACTGTGTTTAAACAGTAGAGCTGACAAGAGCATGCTAGGTACATGTGACAGCACCAAGTATCAGACTCATGAGCTCATGTTTATAAAATAGGCACCTTAGCCACTGAGTCATCTCTTGTCTCCTTAGTTATTTAATTTCTATTGGACTGGTTTCAGTTGTAGTGTATTTATATCACCTGCATTATTACATACATTTTTGCTATTCTACTAACTTAGTTCTTGTTTCTGTGCCCACTATCAGTTGTTATGTCAATTGTTTTGGCTTTCTCAAACATTAATAGTTTCCTCAGGAAGAATTTATGAGAAAACCATTTCTTGCATTCTTGCATGTTAATAATAGTTTTTCTAGGTCCTGTATAGTGACAGTTTTTCCTAATAAAATTTTCTTGCCTCTTGACATGTTCTTTTTTGTGTATCTTAAATTTTGCTCCACTTCATTGTTACTTAATAGATTACTATTAAGTGCTAGTAATGATCTAACTTTCTTACCTAGATACATAACTTGCTTTCCCCCCTCCTTTCTTTTTTGTCTTGAATAGGATTTTTGATGGGTATGTCTAAGTAGGGAGAGCAGCTCCAGGTTCTCATGAATATGGGGTTCATTGTGGCTCATTGTCCTGGGAGGCATAATTAGAGATATATGTGATGTCACAGTCATTTGGAATGAGTCTTTTTTCAGTCATGTCTTTAAATTTATCAGCAATGAACTTAGTAAAGGCCCACTTCCTGAAGATGTGGATTTCCTAATGGCCCAGGAGTTTGAAATTTCCATGTATGGCCTCAATCTTATGTCCCTTGTCTATCAGCTTAATGTGGAGCAATGTGATGACTTAGTTGGATATTCACCACCGAGCCCTGGGAATTTTCAAGGGTACTTCACTATCTCTTTGAGACTAAGATTAGAGAGAGCATGAGGTCAGATCTGAATGTCCAGAAGAAAAGCTTGTATTCAAGCCCCTTGAGGAAATTTTATACAAGCCACAAGCTTCTGACACTACCAACGAGGCTACTGTTTATAGTCATAGCAAATAGTTTCCATGAGAGAAGAGAACACAGTAGGTTCCACTGGCTGCAGGTGTTGTTTACTTGCTCAAAAGAGTATTTCTTTAAGTCAAATAATTTATGAAAATATCACCTGGTGGGGGTTATTCTGGATAAACATTCTCATGTATGTGATAGATTCAAATATGTTCTCTGTCCTTCCTCCCCACTAAAGACACTAATTACACAGGCCAGAATAATAATACAAGCATTATGGCACTTGCCTGTCATGCATCTAAGTGTAGTTGCATTCCCCCCGCCCCCCGCCCCCTGTACCACATATGATCCCCTGAAAGCCTCCAGGAGTGATCCTTGAGCACAGGGCCAGGGGAAAACCCTGAGTGAGTACCACCAGGGGATGCCCAGAAAACAAAAGCAAAAGAAGACACTAACAACCTGTATATTAGGCAACTTAAATTTACCCCATAACCTCTCTGTTCTCCCACCTTTTTCTTTTTGATTTTTTTGGTCACACCTGGTTGTTCTCAGAGCTACCTGCTGCTCTCCTGGCTCTGCACTCAGTGATCACTCCTGGTGGGCTCAAGGAACCATACAGTGTGCTGGGGATCGAACTTGGGTAAGCAGTGTGTAAGTACCTGCTGTTCTATTGCTCTAGCTGCTCTGTTCCTTTCTAAAACAATCTTTCTTATGCACTTCAGTTAGCATTGATCTCTATTACTATGAGTTCAAATCCATGGATTGTTTCATTTATAATACCAAATCTGATGTTGATCCCATTCATGTATTTTTCACTTCAGATTTTTCACTTTAGTTTTGGTCTGTGTATATTTGTTGTGTGCCTTTAAAACATCTTCAATATCTCTAGTCATTAGTCTTAATCTAAGCTTTTGAACATTTGAAATAGAGTTAAACAGAACTGAGAAATAGTGCTGGGTGCTGCATGGCTTGCCTCCTCTTGGTGCTACGAGGCTGAGGACTTGCAGAGATTGCTTCATTTTTTTTTACCTCTGAGGCTCAATGTATTGAAGACCATTAAAAATATAGATAGATATTATTTTTGTTGTTTCAGGTTAGTAAGAAATCTAGTTACTCCCTGTTACTCCATCTTGATAAGAAGCAGGCAGAAGTCTGTTATGGTCTCTCAGTGTGTCACTGTCACTGTCCTCCCGTTCATCGATTTGCTCGAGTGGGCCCAGTAACGTCTCCATTGGAGACTTCGTTGTTACTGTGTTTGGCATATCGAACACATCACGGGTAGCTTGCCAGGCTCTGCCGTGTGGGCGAGATACTCTCGGTAGCTTGCCGGGCTCTCTGAGAGGGGCGGAGGAATCGAACTCGGGTTGGCCATGTTGGCTGCGTGCAAGGCAAATGCCCGACCGCTGTGCTATCGCTCAGTGTGTAGTTTTATTTATTATTCCTGATGTTCTCTTTAATGATCATCTTTAGTATTCAGTTTGGTCATGAGAATGATTTTCTTTCTCAGGGATGCCTATGGTGTATGAATTGGTTCTTATGTTTTTAACTTCTATTTTGTAATTTGGTCTTGAATCTTTTTCTTTATTTCTTCTTTAAAGAATCATGTTCCTTCTTTTTACCTTCTATTTATCTAAGACCTCCGGTTCCAGCCACAGCCATGCTTAAGACCACCCTCCACATGTTCGGACGAGCCTCACGCATGAAGGAACTGGCAGAGGAACCCAGGTGTGTGGAACCCCGGGCTTAGATCTCCAAGCCTGTTCAGATTGGGACTGGGCCTCCTCCACCCAGATCCCCCATCTTCCAGTATGTAGGCGTTACACCCACCAACTGCCCCCGGCACTGTGCAATCTCATCAACAACCAAGACCCAGAGACTATAAAACCCTGCTCCCAGAAGTGCACGGCCACAAATGCGGCCGCACAACATCTTATTATCTAGTTCTTACTCTGGAAAACCTGGCAGGCTACCAAAAGTATCCTGCCTACATGGCAGAGTCTGGCAAACTCCCCGTGGTGTATTCAATATGCCAAAAACCAATAACAATGATGGGTCTCATTCTCCTGATCCTGAAAGAGCCTCAAATGTGGCACTTCTTAAAATCTCAGGGTTAGGACGATGGAGACATTACTGGGGCCTTCTTGAGGCAATCGATGAACAACAGGATGACAGTGATATAGTGATTTATCTTAAGTCGGGTGTACTGTGTTTGTTTCATGTTCCTTGTAGTTTTAATCTACTCTGAAATGATTCGTTTCTCTTTTATTTCCAGTTTTCTTTGTGGATTTCGGTTCCACATTGGGTGGTGCTGCTAAGGGTTTACTCCTACCTTTCTGCTCAGAAATCTCTCCTGGTGGGGCTTAGGGGCCCATATATAGTGCTGGGGATCTAGCCAAGTTCACCAGATGTAAGGCCAGAGCCTTAACTCCTGTACTATCTTATCAGTTTTCCAAATATCTGAATATGTAAGATAATTTCTGAATTTTTCTTTTTATTTATTATTAGTTTATTTTCTTGCATAGTTTATTAAGGTCTCTTAGCTTGTTTAAAACACACATTTCTGGTATGTTTTCATTGTATCTAAAGATAGTATTGTACCCTTTATTCTTTTCTTCTTATAGTAACCATATTATATGCAGTTTTCCCACAGTATAATTTTGTTGTTTTTGTACAAAATTAGCTTTTCTTTACTTTTGGAGGGAGGAGTGATGTAAGGTAGCTTCTCAAATCTCAGAGCTCCCTCTTCTGTTGTTTTTGCATATTGTTTAAAAAATAGCATTTTCTTGCCTGAGATTTCTCAGCTCTATACCTGGTGGTGATCAGGAGATACTCTCAGTTCAGTGCTCAATGTCACGCCTAACAGTCCTGGGACCATATGAGGCCAGGGACCAAATATGAACTTCCAGCAAGCAAAGCATGAGCTCCATCCTATTGAGCCATCTCTCCGATACATATATATATAAATTTATATCTGAGGGAGTCTGATTATGGAGCCATTGGCTCCATAAGAGAAATCTATATCTTAATCCTTTAAACATACAAATATCACCATATGGCAAAAATAAGCACTTCATATGTGTGTGTGATTAAGGATTTTGTGATAAGGAGATTATCCTAGATTATCCAAGTAGACCCTAAATGTAATTACAAGTGTTTTTTCAAGAGTGAAACAGAGATAAATCATACAATGGGAGAAGGAAATTTGATAGTAGGAGTAATGTGGCCACAATCTAAGGAATGCAGCAGTGACCAGAGTGGAAGAGACAAGGATACTCTTGAATTTTAAGAATTCTTGTAAAACTTCAAGAGAAGTATGGCCTTGACAACACCCTGATCTTGATACAGCACCACTGGTTTTGAACTTTAGGATTCTAGAATTGTGAGAAAATATTACATTGCTTTAAATCACAAAATTTGTGGCATTTTATGACAGCAGCAATAGGAAACTTATGGATTTTTGTTCTGGAAATTGGATTTGCTGTGACAATGAACTGAAAATGTGAATTAGCTTTGGAATAGAATAATTGGATAATAGGCAGACACTGGAAGAATATGGAGGGCCATGTCAGAAAAAGCCTAGATGGCTTCAAAGAGACTGTTGTAGAAATAAATGCTGAAAACACGGCTGGGGAGGGCTCAGAAAAGGTGAGGCACATGATAGAAAAAGTCTAAATTTTCTTATTCAATACAGACATCACCATAAATAGAATGTTGTCATAAATATGAACATTGAAAGTGCTACTTATGAGGACCCAGAAGGAAATGTGGAATGTTAATTTGAAACTGGAGGAAAGGTTACATTTGTTATAGTGATAGAATATCTAGATCAACTTGTGTCTATAGCTATGTGAAAAGTAGAACTGATAAGCAATCAACCAAATCAACCTAGATTTTGGGGGTTTGCTTTTGGGCCACACTTGACGGTGCTCATAGATCACTTCTGGGAATCAGATCCTAGTTTGCTGCATGCAAGGTAAGCAAACTCCCACTGTACTATAGCTGGGCCCTTAATCTGAATATTTGACTATGGTTATTTCCAAGAAATTGTTGCTGCTTGGTTTCCAGTTGATAAAATTAAGTAGAAGACATTGTCAATTGTTGTCACTTGTCACTTGTCATCCTGTTGATCATCAATTCGCACGAGGGGGTGCCAGTAACAACTCCATTCATTCCTGTCACGTGCTAGCGTAGCCCAATGGCATATTGGGGGCTCTTTCAGGGTCAGGGGAATGAGGCCCGTTATTGTTACTGTTTTTGGCACATTGAATACTCCACAGGTAGCTTGCCGGGCTCTCCGAGAGGGACGAAGGCTTTTTGGGCAGCCTCTAATCACTTGTACAGGTGTTGCTCTCTTCCTGGAGCTTTGTTTTATAAGTCTCTGGATCTTGACCATTGATGAGATTACATGGGCTGGGAGCAGTCTGTGGGTGTGACGGCCAAGCTCCTGGAAAACTGGGGGTCTGGATAGTGGAGGCCCAGCCCGATCTGAGCAGGCTTAGAGATCTCAGCCACATACCTGGGTTCCTCTGCAGGTTCCTTCATGTGTGAGGCTCGTCCGAGCAGGTGGAGAGTGGTCTTGAGCATGGCTGTGGCTGGGTTCTAGTTGTTTTCGGCGGCCGGGGTTCTGCTTGTGGCGGCGAGGGAGACTCAATCCAGCCCCCTCCAAGGGGCCCCAGTGAAGACAGCCTGGCACTGGACCAGGAGATTCTGCCACAAACTGCCCCCGGTGCTATGTAATCTCATCAATGGCCAAGATCCAGAGACTATAAAACAAAACTCCTGGAAGAGAGCAACGCAGAATCTCCTGCCCCTGCTCCAGGCTGTCTTCACTGAGGCCCCTTTGAGGGGGGCATGTTTGGTCTCCCTCCCCGCCCCAAGCAGAACCCCGGTAGCTGAAAACCTTCAGAACCCAGCCACAGCCATGCTCAAGGCCACTCTCCACGTGTTTGTATGGTCTCACGCATGAAGGAACTGGCAGAGGAACCCAGGTATGTGGGACCTGTGGCTGAGATCTCCAAGCCTGCTCAGATCGGGGCTGGGTCTCCTCCACCAGCTTTCCAGTAGCTTGGCAGGCAGTCACACCCACAAGTGGAAGAC